TCTGCGCTGTGGTCGCGGTCTGGGTTGGGTTGGATCGGGTGGGCTGGTGTTGTGTGCCTTGCTTGGCCTTACCCAGGTCCTGCCCCTCCCACGTGGACCCCCTCGCGCGTGACGTGACACAAAGGAAGGGAAGGTTCTGCCATCATCGTCGTCGTCATCGTCGTCGTCATCCTCGACACTGGCCACGTGGCTGCGGCTGCGACGGGGCGCTGCCCTCTTCTCTGTGCTGATGGCGCCCGTGGGGGCGCTGCTCCTCATCTCGGCCCTCGACGACGACCTCCTCTTCTCCGTTTCTCTCCTGCTCCTCTTTGCCGCCTGCCCGGCCCTCTCTGCACTCGCTCGCCGTGCCGAGGTACCCCCCCTTACCTACCTACCTACCCACTCACCACCCCCGAGGCGCGGGTGGCGCCCCGCTGCAGCGCGCCTCTCTTTCCCTTCTCTCTCTTCTCTCTCTCTCTCTCTCGAAGAGATCTGGGTCGCGTGCGTGCGTACAGCTTTTATCCCATCCCTACCCGCCCTTCCTCACCCGTAAGCCGCGTGCGTGCTGGTCACCGTGCAGGTGTCAGCGACGGTGCTGAATTCGTCGGTGGGGGCAGTGTTCGGGCTGGCCACCGGAATGCGGGGCGTGGCGGGACCCACCGGCCTGGCAGTGGTCGGGTCGGTGTTCGGAATAGCACACCTCGCCGCCCGCCGCTGGCTCGCCCCTCTCCTCGTACCGCGCCCCTCCACATGCACACGCACGCGCTGCGCACACCCCGGACGCGCACGTTGGCCAACGTCTCGCGCGCGCTCTGAGTGCTGACTGGTGGCGGCGGTGATGTGCGCAGAGTCGCGGCACTGGAGTGATGGGGGTGATGAGCTACGTGGGCGTGCAGCTGCTGGTTGGTCTGGCCGTGGTGCACGCGATCACGGCGTGGTGCTTGCCGCTCGCGCCCTCCTCCGTCGATGGCCACGCCCACGACAGCTTCGCGGAGGGGGCGGTGCTCTGCGTGGGTGCCTCCCTCGTGTGCGCTCTCGGGTGCGCCCTGCCCCAACGCCGGCGAGGGGGGAGCGCAGCGACGATCTTTTGCGCAGTGGCCACCCTGGCCGCTCTCCTGGTGGCGGCCAAGGCTCTGGCGGCTGGCCTGCTGGCCTGCCCCTAGACCAGGACACCGGCCCTTCTGGACGCCGTGGACGAGCATTGGTGGTGGGCTGTGTGTGTGGTGTAAATTGGCGGTGGAGATGGCAGCAGCAGGGCGGCCTAACAAAGTACAATAATAGAACAAAATGGCGGAGCTGCCACACAGGAGGTGAGTGGTCGGATGTGGTGGCAGTGGCGGTGTTGATCGAGCTTAGGCCTGGTTGTGGGGCGAGCCGGGCATTCGGGGAGACGAGGGGTCGGGCGAGGCCTTGTCCTCGGAGACGACCTTGACTCCGACCGCCTTCTTCTTGGCCTCCTTGATGTCCTTCATCCACTCCTTCATGTCATCCAGCTTGAGCGCGGCCAGGTTGTACTGCTGCTTACCCGAATCCAGTTGGAAGCCGTAGTTCTTCTTGCCCTGGATGGAGAACGAACGGCCCAGCACGTCAGTACACATCTCTCGCGGGAGGTGGGCGGTGGTGGTG